AGAAAGCTGCAATTGGCAAAGTAGTAGCAGTCACTCATTTTAGCAAAGAGAGAGGATGTTTAGTATTTTGTGGATGGCAGAGTGAACCTGTTTTTGTCTGTGCTTAGACAAAATTAAGTGGCCTTTGTCTCATTTTATCATAGTTTCAGAGTAACATTGTCTGAGGTTGGTATTCTGTGAAATTCTTTATGTCAATAGGAGAATAACATGTCCTACCCGTGAGTACCAGGCCAGCTTCTAAATGTCAAGAGCTCCTCTTTTTTTTCTTTCCTAACACATTCCTTTAACAACTGTTTGATTTGGCTCTAAGTGCCACAATGCCAGGCTTTTTAAGCACTGGATATACAACAGTAAACCACACAAACAGGGTCCTGCCTTCATTGAGCTTATGTTTTACAGATAAGGCTGATATTCAAAAAGACTAGGTAATTTGCTCAAAGTCCTATAGAAAATAAGTCACAGAACTGAGACGCGAACTAGAGTTTGTTTCTCTCTGTACCCTTGCCTTCACCATACCAGCCTGCCTGCCCTGCTGAGGCTCAAGCCGTCTATTCCTATCCAAAGGTTTCTGATATGTGAAATACTCATGAAGCATAAAGTACTTATATTTTTCCCTTCATTTCCCAACTCCCACTACTAAAATCTCCAGATGTCAGATTTAAGTGCTTGCTTTCTACCACGTACTCTGCCACAAGCCTAGGATGAGTTTGCTAGGACTGGTCCCAGAGTAAGATAATATCGGCATATTATACCAGAGAAAAACTCATTTTGGACTTTTTATTTACCCATAGTCCTACATTCAGGACATCTGTCCTTATTCAAATCTAAGCTTTAGTGTATTTTTATAAACTTAGATTCTGTGTGTTTAAACTTTGGTATTAAAATCGAATCCCTAAAAGTACTAGATGACTATGGCCTCCTAGCAAGCTATAGGTTTATTTTCCATACTTATCATTGACAAATTCATCAAAAAATGTTTTAAAAAAAGAAAGAACAGGGGCCGGCCCGGTGGCGCACTGCTACAGTGCGCCGCTTGGGAGTGCGGCGGCGCTCC